CCCCCCCCATCCAGTCCTGTCCCATCCCATCTGTAGCATCGATCCTCCTGCCTCAGCCTCCCAAGTAGTTGAGACTATAGGCACCCACCACCATGCCTGGTTAATTTTGTGTAGTTTTAGTAGAAACAGGGTTTCACCATGTAACCAAGATGGTCTTGATCTTCTGATCTAATGATCTGCCCACCTCGGCCTCCCAAAGTGCTGGGATTACCCACATAAGCCACCACAGTGAGCGAGATGGACATTTTTCTTGCCAGTATTATACAATGATTTCCAAGGCGCACTGGGAAAAAGTATAAAATTATAATGAGCCCATCAAACCTGTTTAGGGAGAGGCTAACTAGGCACTTAGCTCAAAACAAATTTTGAGCCGACTTACTATATGGTGTACTACACGGGTGGCACAAGGAAGGGTTTGGCAAAAGCTGAAGGTGGGGGATGGGTACAGTGGCTTGGGCCTATAATCCCAGCACTTTGTAAGTCCAAGGTGGGTGAATCACTTGAGTTCAGGAGTTCAAGACCAGCCTGGCCAACATGGTAAAACTCCATTTCTACTAAATATATAAAAATTAGCTGGGTGTGGTGGCTGGCATGTGTCTGTATTCCCAGCTACTTGGGAGGCTGAGGCAGGAGAATCGCTTGAACCTGGGAAGCAGAGGTTGCAGTGGGCCAAGATTGTACCACACTGCACTCCAGCCTGGGTAACGGAGCAAGACTCTGTCTCAAAAAAAAAAAAAAAAAAAAAAGAAAAAGATAAAAGTTGGGTGTGGTGGCTCAGCACTTTGGGAGGCCTAGGCAGGTGGATCACTGGAGGTCAGGAGTTTGATAGCAGCCTGGCCAATGTGGTGAAACCCCATCTCTACAAAAGACACAAAAATTGGTGGTGGCAGATGCACATCATCTCAGCTACTCGGGAGGCTGAGGCAGGAGAATTGCTGGAACCCAGGAAGGGGAGGTTGCAGTGAGCCGAGATTGCATCACTGCACTCCAGCCCGGGCGACAACAAAGAGACTTCTTCGCCTCTAAAAGCAAACAAACAAAACCCCCAAAAACTCAAGGTGGGACTGGGAAGACATTTGGGAAACCAGCCTTGGGTGAAGGTGGTGGTGAACAGTGAATTCTGATCTTGAATTTGGGGTGCTGTGGAGAGCAGCGTGAAGGTTGCAGGGAAGTCTGAAGGCCCAACTGCCTCTGGTTAGGGTTGGAGGAGCCTGCCTGGGCTGAGGTGGCCTGCTGGGGCCCAGACCCAGAACACTTGGGAGGGGTGGAGAGGAAGTGATTCAAAACCACGTATGCCTGGATATGTCCTGATTACGGCAACATCTGCCCAACCAGTTCCTCTCCTGGCCCCTATGGGCACTCCCCTTCAAGTAGGTGGAGACCTTCCGGGATGACAGGTGGACAGATCAGGAGCATGCTCTGGGCCCCTCCCTCAGGATCAGGTTCAAGCTCAGCTTCCTGACTAGCCTCTCCCTCCAGGGAACCAGAGGTCTGCCCTGCACTCACCCGGCTGCTCAGGTTCAACCCAGGCCTTTCCCCTGAGGCTTCCTCAGCCCTGGGTGACCTTGAGCTCAGGGTCAGCTTCTGCAGTGCTGGGGATGGTAACTTTCAACAGCCATAGGCTGGCCTGGGTGCAACCTCTGTGCTTTGCTCTGGCTCAAAACTTGCCTACTGTGTTTAAGTTGCTTTATCCTGCCAACCCCTAAGGCAGAGGGAATGACTGTCCCTGCCTTACAAGGTTCTGGGTTGGGAGGGAGGTACTGAATTAGTAATGGCTCACATTACTATTCGAAGTGCTTTAAATGCCATATGTGGTAAGGACTGTCCCATGTGACAGATGAACAAACTGAAGAGAAGATGAACTTACCCTAAGTCATGCAGCAGCGAGTAGCAGCAGAACCAGGCTTGGAGCCTTGGCGGGTGTGCTCTTACCTGCTATGTGTGGAACTTCCTGCTCTGGGTACACGTGGAAGGCACCAGGAAGCGCTGCACATGCATCAGTTAGCTGTTATTTAGCAAGCAGACGCCCCTAGAGTAACCCCCAGGAAGCCGGCCTGGGGTGCCAATGTGATAAGAAAGTGGAAGGAAGGGGTTAGTTCAAAGTCCTTTTGAGGGGGGAGGGGAGTGTCAATTCTGACTGCAGAGGGAGGGGCAGGCAGGGCAGGGGGGGCTTGAGGGGCCTGGGGAGGGTCTGAAGCAGCCACTGTGGGAACAGGGGCAAGTCGGTGGCCCACGCCTCTGCCAGGCATCAGCGCCCAACCTGGCAGACTCGGGGTACTCACCTGAGGGCAGCCCTGCGCAGGCGGGGACACAGCAGCAACCTTCCATGTCCAGTTAAAACAAGTTTGAGTAAGACTCAGCTGTCTTGCTTTGACGCAATACTTTAAGAAAACCTGTAAGGAACGGCAGACCCTCACCCAATGGGCAGAAATGCAGCAGAGGAGTCCGCGTCAGCAACAGGAACCTGCAACTCCGCAGAGGGAGGGACCCACAGCATGACAGAAAACCAGAGCAAAAAGTGGCTCTCAGATCTGGAGGGGCTGGGGTTCCCTTCCAGAATCTGCAAACATCACAGGAAAACATCATCAGAATGAGAAATAGGAAACAATAAAATCACTTTAATGTGCTGCTATTCATTTCGGAAGGTCATTACAGTATCATTTGCAAAGTTCAACAAGGAACAATGCCACTGGATGGCCGTGTCCTGGGCGTTGCCAACGTGAGGAGCTAGCTGCTTTCACCCCACCAAATCCGGGGTGCAGACAGCTACAGGCCCGAGTGGCTGGGAGGCATGGAGGGAACCAGGTTTAGCTGTGATGAAAGTACCTGGCTGTGGGCTGGGGGCGGGAGTGCTCGGCAGCCGGGGAACCCCTGGCCCCAGAATCAGGTTGGCAAGTGACCAGTGGAGGCCACACAGCCGCAGCACCAAGCAATGGAGTCCCAGGGGTTCCACATCCTGAAAAGTGACACATGAGCCATTTCCTAGGAAAGTTCTCTTCCACTGTGTTCTGGATAAGGCCTGGGATCCTTCCGGTTTCACGAAGAAGGTGCAGAAGGTAGAAAGAGTGAGGGACGCAGGCATGGCTGCGGCTGCACTCACCCCCTCGGTCGTCAAGTCCGGGTGAGGGCCTGAGTGCGCGCAGACAGAAGAGCAGCTCCTCTTCCTGTTCCCTGGCTGGGCTCTCGCTCGATCCCTGGGAAACTAGAGACGAGCGCTCTGGGAAGCCAGCCAGAGCCAACCAGAGGTCCTTTTGGTGAAGTCTGACATACCACGTTAGTTTCTCTGGACGTGGGTGAGAACTGGCCCCCTGGGGAAGGACTCTTTTGCCAGTGCCAATTCTCCAGCGGGGCTGCTGGTTCCCACTGCCTCCCATCTCAGAGACAGAGAAGCAGCCCGGCTACTCCAAGTGTAATGAGTACAGAGCCATCCCAAATCCAGGCCAGCTGAGGGGCAAACTCCCTGAGGTCTGCTGCCACTTGGCCAGCTATCTGACAAGCAGGACTCAGCCTCAAACATGGGAAAACAAAGTGCACCTAGTCCCTGGGCGTCACCCTGCCCTGCTCACTGCCCCATCAACGCAACGCACAGGCAGCAGGTGTTTGGAAACTTCGTCCTGGGGTGGGTCACTGCAGATGGCCTGTCCTTGTTTCTCAGTACCTAATCTCCATTTCTGATGCTGACGCAGGGGTCCATTAAAACCACTTAAGGGGCGGGCACAGTGGCTCGCACCTGCAATCCCAGCACTCTGGGAGGCAGAGGTGGGCAGATCATGAGGTCAAGTGATCAAGACCATCTTGGCCAACATGGTGAAACCCTGTCTCTACTAAAAATACAAGAAATTTAGCTGCGTGTGGTGGCACACACCTGTAATCCCAGCTACTCGGGAGGCCGAGACAGAATCGCTTGAACCTGGGAGGCAGAGGCTGCAGTGAGCCGAGATTGTACCACTGCACTCCAGCCTAGGCGACAGAGCGAGACTCTGTCTCAAAAAAACAACCGTTTATGTTTTCAAAAGAACCACCAAGAGGGAGGGTCCTGGCACATTTTTTCTTTCTGTATCATCCTAGGATGATGGGGAAATTTCCCCAAAACTATGTGATTGCATGTATTAGGTAGGTATTAGACTAGAGGGCTGGGGGTCGGTGGGGAAGACCTTTTGTGGGAGGCGTTCTTCTGAGCCGTTCTTGACAAATGTTTTCTCCTTCCTTCTGGAAGCCTCTGGCAGTGGAAGTGGAGGCATGGCATGTCAGGGGTGGAGGTCCAGACTACATGTGCCTGGCACAGGGCGCATAGCCTGGCTGGGCTGGCTGTGGATGGGTGAGCACATGTGGGCGGGCCCTTGGCTCTGGCCACTGAATGCCCCATGCTGCCTTGTCAGCCAGGACCCCGCAACTCCTGCCCCGGTGTCAGAAGAGCTCTTCGCAGATCTTGCGTGTGTCTTCAGGCGCCGTCACGGAGTGGCCCACGGTCCTGGGGTCTGTGAAGATCTCATGGTCATTGCCACCCTGGAAAGACACCAAGTGCAGATGAAGTCTCCCTCTCGTTTGTCCCGGGCCATTGCTGATATGACCCAGGAGCCCAAGACTTAAGTGGGCAGAAAGACCAGAAAACAAGACTTAAGTGGGCAGACAGAATTTCTTCAGCTCCCTTCCTCTTAGCTTTTAGGGGAAGAACATGAGTACAATTGTTACTGAGAAGAGATTTATAACCTTCCCTTGAACTGCAATTTGGCTTGGAACATGTAATTATACCTATGAAAGACATCAGGACGTTCTTGCAAAGATCTCTCTAAGGCTTAGCTTTCTATAAAGAAGGCATCAGCAAGTGACAGTGTTCTCACAGCCATCAGTTTTTTTAAGCTGTGCCCATACTTTTCTAACAGGTGACCAGGGGGTGTCAGGAGGAGAGAGAGCTGGGAGCAGGGCTGCTAGGGACCTTCTGTGATGAGGGACATGGCAACATCAGTGGTGACGGCAGCCTCTGGTCATGTGTGACTTTGCACACTTGAAATGTGGCCAATTCGATGGAGGAACTCAGCTGATTTGATTTTAATTTAAATGCCCCACGTGGGCTGGACATGGGGGCTCATGCCCGTAATCCCAGCACTTTGGATGGCCAAGAAGGGTGGGTCACTTGAGGTCAGGAGTTCGAGACCGGCCTGGACAACATGGCAAAACTCCAGTTCTACTTAAAATACAAAAATTAGCTGGGTGTGGTGGCCCACGTCAGTAATCCCAGCTGCTCAGGAGGCTGAGGCAGTAGAATTGCTTGAACTCAGGAGGTGGAGGTTGCAGTGAGCTGACACGGTGCCACTGCACTCCAGCCTAGGCTACAAAGTGAGACTCCATCTTAAAATTAAATAAATGGCCCCACATGACTGGGGTCCAAGCTGCTGGCTAAGAGCAGGGTCTCTGGAGCAGGCAGCTTGGTACGGATGCTGGTTCTCCCACTGACCAGTGGTATGGCTGTGGCAACCCCCCGTCTCCAACGTGGGGTCATGGTGGAACTTGGCCAGAGCTTTGTGGTTAGAAGTTCAGGAGATGATGGTGGGGGTCGCACCTTGGTAAGATGAGGAAACCGAGGCCTGAGGAAGTCTGCAAGGGCCCACGTCTAGGAGGACCTGGGCATGCTCTGCCAGGGTCCCGTGCCTGAGTCGAGTGCTCTATCTGTGTCCCCATCGCCCCCACCAATCCCACTGGGCTCAGGTTAATGAATCAGGCTACCTGCCGCTCCCACAACCCTGAGCCCTGCAGGTAAGCCCCTGCTTTTCTCATCATGGAATTCCTATATTTTCCTCATAAAATTGGATAAACACTCTAACTCAAACCTTAAAATAATCTATGACTGGTTTACAATATGATGAACACAACCGCAGAGAAAGGGATTTTTCTTATAAAGCACTGAGCACAAAGCCAACATGGAAACCACAATTTCTGTACAGAAAATCTCACATACTTTTTAAGAACAACTCTGCAAATTTCATTTGTAAGAACCTATCCCCAGGCAGATGGCTTCCCCAGGTGGAGGTGAAGTTTCAGGCTTCAGGAGGGAATGTCACTGGGCCCAGGAAGCGCTGGTGGAGTCAGGTTAGGAGGCCATGAACTTGCCATCTCTTCCAGTCCAGCCACTCGGAAGCCTGCCAGGGCCTTGCACTGGCCTCACACACTTTTGTACCATGAAGAGCCTGAGGCCTTCAGACAGCCCTGCATTTCATGGCCACCATCTGCTACCTATGTGAATACAGGTATACTCAGTTCTGGTAATTCTGATTTTGCCTTTTTTCTTTGGACATAGGGTCTTGCTATGTTGCCCAGTCTGGGCTCAAGCAAACCTCCTGCCTTAGCCTCTCAAGAAGCTGAGACAAAGACTGTGTGCCACAATGCCGAGCTAGTTCTAGTTTTTTTTTTTTTTTTTTTTTTTTTTTTTTTTTTTTTGAGACAGAGTCTTGCTCTGCCGCAAGGCCGTTATCTTGGCTCACTGTAACCTCTGCTTTCCAGGTTCAAGTGATTCTCTTGTCTCAGCCTCCTGAGTAGCTCGATTACAGGCACGCGCCACCATGCCCGGCTAATTTTCTATTTTTAGTAGAGGCGCAGTTTTAGCATGTTGGTCAGACTGGTCTTGAACTCCTGACCTCAGTTGACCGCTGCCTCAGCCTCCCAAAGTGCTGGGATTATAGGCAAGAGCCAACATGCTTCGCTGTAATTCTTACAATTAAAAAAATATTTCTTTCAAGAATGGCATGGTAGATAAAAGTCATGGAGAGCCTAACAAAGGCACAACCTAGCTGGGCATGGTGGCGGGTGCCTGCAGTCCCAGCTTATACTAAGGAGGCTTAGGCAGGAGAATCACTTGAAACCTGAGGGGCTGAGGTTGCAGTGAGCTGAAAATGCACGACTGTACTCTGTCTCAAAAGAAAAAAACAAAAAACCAAAGGCACAAGCAACTCTGTATGCCTCAGAAGAGCCAAACATCCTTCCCCTCACTCAGGGACTTAGGAGGGGGAGTCAGTATTCACACATCAACACCACACACCTTTCTAGAACACCTGCTACCTGCCAGGCATTGCTTTAAGAGCTAGAGATACAGCACAAGCCAAACCCACTCACAGCTGTTTTGGGAGCCTGTGGTCTGGTCGGGGAGACTAGGCATGAGAAGACAGCTCTTTGCGCCTTCTTGGGCAAAGGCAGGAAAGGGCTGCCAGGACTGGAGGGTGAGGGAACCCTGGCACCTGAGGGAAGTGAGGGGACAGGCCTTGTGGCCATCAGAGAAGAGGCTGAAGAGGGAGGATGGGCAAGGGCCAGGTCAGGCCACAGAGGATCTCCTAGATTGTGACAAGAACCTGGGATTTCATGGAAAGCCACCTGAAGGCTGCAAGCCCGGGCCATGATAAGCTTACTTTACAACAGGATCTATCTAGAGAACGGGTCGGGGCTGAGGACACAACTGAGGGAAGCCATTAGGAGGCTCCTGCAGACAGGCAGGGTGCAAAGACAGAGGCCATTGCCTGCGAAGAGACCCCTAAAACACAAAGGGTTCATGCTAGTCCCCCTACAGCTGTTAGGCCTGCCCTTCCCTGCAGATGTCACACGCAAGGGACATGAGTCGCCCGTGATCCTGCTGGGGGTTGTCGGGGAGGTGTCTGTGGACTCTGAGTGAGCTGTGTGCATGTAACTTGCTGACACTTAATAAAGCTAGGTCTGAAGAATCAAAGCACATCCAGGAAGGCGAAATCCTCCTGACCCTAGTTGTGGGAGCCTTGCTGGGTCACCCCCTTTCAGAGAGCGGCAAGGCTGGCAGGAGAATCTGCAGACACAACCTGCCTCAGGCCTTCCTTTTTCTCCTGCCAAGGGTCTGCTTCCTCCTTTGTGACTCCCAGAGTGTGGTGGGCTCCTTCCTCGGGTGCAGTCTTCTAAGGGCTGTGTGGAGCTTGCATACAAGAGTAGGCGCAAGGCAGGCGGAGCGGACCCTAAACAAAATGGAACGAAAGCTGGCTGCCCTCTAGAATAATAAGGCTCAGAGAACCGGAAATTTCCAATGCTGGATTTGCATATGCAGTAAAGGTCACTTGATTCTGGTTGTGGAAAGCAGCCACCCGCCAGCTCTGTGAACAAAAACCCTGCTCCCTGGAGAGGGAGGGAAGCAGGGAGGCCTGAAAGAATGATCCAGTTTCTCGTTACACTCTACCTGACCGGCACCAAAGGGAGGCCATGGCTCAGTGAAATCAGCGCATTAATATTTAAATCCCTAAATGGCCCAAAGTCTGCAGATGAAACAGAATATGCAGTGTTGGCCAGGTTCACATGCTGGGGGGGCTGAAGAGTCTCCCCGCCCCAGCCCATTTCTGTACATGCTGTGGCCGACCTGTGCAGCGTGGTAGTGAGCCCCAATCGTCCGGAGGAACAACGTCATGGATCAGAGCCTGCGTGAACTGCTTAGCTGGCTAGATTGCGGTGGGTGCGTGCTGTGTGGACACCTCCTAGAGCACAGATGGACTCTCCGTAGCTCGTGGTCGGAACCCTTATTTAAATTTATTTTTGAGACAGGTTCCCACTCTTGCTCAGGCACGAGTGCAGTAGCGGGATCATGCCTTGCTGCAGCCTCCACCTCCTGGCTCAAGCGATCCTCCCGCCTCAGCCTCCTGAGTACTGGGACGACAGGCATGCACACCATCCCTGACTAATAGTTGACTCTTGCTGTGGATGATTATTTTGACTGTTTAACAAGTATTTACCAAATTTCTAGGTATTACAGATGCAGGGGCTGAAACCACATTTGCAAGAATTGTAACTGAGAAAACAATGATGGTGAAAGAGGTATGACCTGACTGCATCTCGCTTCCAACCTCCAAGCTGTCCTTGTTCATTCCTGGGCATAGGCTAAACTAACCTTGGGAGGAATTTATAGTTCGTTTTTTTTGTTTTTGGAGACAGAGTCTCACTCTGTTGCCCAGGCTGGAGTGCAGTGGTGCGATCTCGGCTCACCGGAATCTCCGCCTCCCAGGTTCAAGCAATTCGCCTGCCTCAGCCTCCAAAGTAGCTGGGACTATAGGCGCGCACCACCACACCTGGATAATTTTTGTATTTTTAGTAGACATGGGGTTTTACCATGTTGGCCAGGCTGGTGTCAAACTCCTGGTCTCAAGTGATCTGCCCGCCTCAGCCTCCCAAAGTATTGGCATTACAGGGGTGAGCCACCATGCCTGGTCTATAGTTCAACTTTGAAACAAAGACGTAACAGCTCTTTTCCCCCCGAAATAAACCCCCTTCTTGCCTGGGGACCAGTCTGCCTTTGTAGGACTAACGCATTCGCTACAAGATTAAAAATTATGGCTCAGGAGCCATGCAGTCTCAGGCTACAAGAGCCTGAACCTTCCCAAATTGCTCCTGGAAATAGTATCACTGTCGTGAAACCAACCTAAGATTGTGCCTGAGACATTTTGCAGACCCTGCATTCTGATGCAGTAGTTGACAACACACACAGAGTTCAATCAGTTCTTTGATCAACC